CGGTGTTGCTGCTCGCTTGCCTTCAAACTCGTTAACGCCTACGACGTTTTCTGGACTGCTTGGTCGCTCCATCTGCTGAGAACCCTATAAAGAAATGTACGAAACGTTAACAATTAATTGACTTTTTTCTAAAAAGATTTCCTTTGCAAGAAATTTGGTGCTAACAATTGCAAATTTGATGAAAATCGCATACCGGGAGGGAAGTAAAATCGTGATACGTCCCTGCCGAGCACTCGCAAATTATTTTGCTCGTCCAAGCGCTTGAGCAATGCCTTCTTGTCGACGCTCGGACAGCGCTCACACCGATGCGCCTTCATAATTGCCTGCAAAGTAAAGCTACCATCAAACAGAAATTTGAAATAAATAAATGGCCATTCAGGTCATTCATGAGATTTGACACTTCAATCATAATTATAAAATACCTTGGCATCGGTGATCGAGCACTCCCTCGGCAAATTGACTTGGAAGCGACAGAGAGTGCAGTAGCCTATAATATTACATTATGCAATTTCAAAGCATCTATTCGCATACTCAAAAGAAAGTTTTACAAATGAAAATAAACTATTTGACTAATATATAATCACTAATTTATATTGATAATTTTACCTTATGAAGGTATTGAAATTAATGATGTTTTATAGTATTTAATATTATGAACGTGTTGATAATGAAGAAATTACATAAATAATCCTTACCATCTAATGCGTGGGCTGCTGTCTTCGTCACGTGGATCTTCCACGCCCGAATCGATGCAAACGATTCGGTCCGCAGCAAAGGGCAATGTGCGAGATTGCAGTCTGAAATTAAATGTAAAAGGATATATTCCAGACAATCAATTCAAGTTTGGACTGATTCTACTTCATTTTTTTGATCATAAATATTGATTTCAGTTACAATTAACTTACAAACTAATCCATCTCGCACTTCGTACGGGTTATCTTGTGGTACCCGTACCAATGCAAACACCGGGTTGTCTTGGGAAACCGGTGCCTGGTAGGAGGGGATGCTGCGTCTCTTCGGGCATGGGTCGGCAGATAACATTCTCGACCCAAAGTTGCGCCTGAAATCATCGAAATAAATAATATAATTGCTTGCCTTAGGCAGGCAACATGAAGCCGAATACTTGGAATCTGAAAAAACTTACAACTTTGCCCGGTAGTTTGGGTCGATCTCTACTTGACGCGTGCGCTTTCGTCGACCAACCACTACGGAGGAAAAAGATTCCTACAACTGGGAAAAATCAGTAAGCCCTGGTAAACAGTTACAATTTCAGTAATGAACAAATAACTATGCAAAAAAATAACAAAAAAA